TAGAAGAGAAGTGAAGCACACCGCGCTTCGCGAAAACCGGCCGGCATCGCGAAAAAATGGCCTCAACTGTTCGATATTAACGACACTCACGCCGGTAACATTTTATTTTATAAAAGGATGTTTTTTATTCTATTTTTCTTGTGTCTTATGTTACTTAAATAAAAATGAACGAGTAACGCATTCTATGAAAAGTAAGAAAATATTTAATTATCTTATATCATTTACTTGAATTAGTAGTTATTATTTAATTGATGAGAGTACAATCATCTTTTACACATGTTCGCAAAAATTGCTGGAAATATAATTTTGCAACGTTTTGCATGAGTGAGAAATGCCAAGCTATACTGCACTTGTGTCCAATTTCAAACGGCGGAATTAGAGGATTTGGAAACGGGCGGTAATATCGTTTTACCCGTTTTTAATAAATGGCCAACTCGTATAGCGAAATAAAAACTTTGCCAATTACGGTTGCGACGAAACAGCAAAACGGTACTCGCGGGAATGCGTCTGTTAAAATCTCACAGTAATTTCATATATATTAGATAAAACGATCGCCATTTCTCGGATTTATACGAAACGTTTGACCAACTCGACGCGAATTTTTTCTAAATAAAAGCGTCGGAGCATGACTTTTACCTTACAAGTGACCAATGATGAAATGCTCCTCACAAATTACTTATCAGTAATATAAATGAATAAAAAGAAGTCTACAACAAATAATTGTTTTAAATAATTAAATTGACACAATTTTATTAATTTTAACAATAAGATTAATTTTCGTACAATTTTAATCTGAAGCTCAATTACAAATAACAAAATTCTATTTACGAGAATAGAATAATAAGCACGTGGTAAAAACAATAAAATATAGCGATGCAATAAAATGTGTGACACGAATGTATCGCGTTTAGTTGGAATCCATAGGCAATTCTCCAAAGTTACCTCGAAAAGGAATCGATTTTGACGATGAGATCAAATCTCTCCAACATCCTACGTGGCTCTTAGACACGAGGATAATCCAGAGCTTACTCACGTACTGAAAGGCGACCAAGTCGAGCTTCCGCGCGTCTTTCGACCGCCTTTTTACCGTCGCGTGTGTGATGTAGTTTTAAATAATTCAGGATTTTCCAAAGAATCTCTCGTCCACTTTTCGACATTTTTTTTAATTCCATCCGAAATACTTTGTTCGATTGGGGATTTCAATAGACAGTCAGTCTATCTCGATTTTAACGGATACACGAACTCGTCGAAAGCGACGGTGATTTGCACGAAAAGAGAAAAGAGTGATTTCGGCAGAAAAGATAAAAATAGAAAGCTGATCGTAGAATTGCAAAATAGGGGAAAAAAGAAAATGACATTGCTATTTTATAACATTTTAAAAAGTTGAACGTGTATGTTTCAAAATCTGTATCTGGGATTTAATTCTCAGGCTCGCATCGATTGTCGACACCTTTGCTAAAATATTTTCTCCATTAATTTACTTACCCAGTACATAACATAATGCCTTAAACTGCAAAGACATTTGTGTATAATAATTAGCTGTTGTGATTGATTGAAAAAAATGTGACGAAGAACTGAAAAGAGGGTACAAATTCTTCTACCATCGTTATTTCCTCTCTGTTTACACATGCATAATTTTTCGTTAACTTGGACCTCCTTCAGCGGAGCATAATTTTTTCTGAAAACCGTGTAATAGAGTAAAATTACAAGGAAAAATTTTGCCCGAGGTAACATTTTCGCTCGAAAGGTTTTCTACAAATATTTTTTCAAATTTTTTATTTTTGACACAAAACGGATTTTTTTCCAAAACATTACTATACCATATGCACCCGCGAGAAAGTTTTTTTGTGAGAAAGTGATATTTTGCAATGTGTGTTCCATGCTACGAACATGGTACAACTCCATGCTCGAGTTACACCGCTGTTGCTGCAGTCGTGTCTCTGATTTAACCCGATACCGCTGCTCTGAAATTTAAGTCTGTTTTCATCGTTAACCTCATTAACACAATCTAGGAGCCAACGTTGGCTACCGTTGCCGACATCCGCAGTAAAACAGTATTTTTATCCGCGTGACAGCGCGAGTCAGCGAGGCCAGGTATTATCGGTCCGACTAAAAATAAGTTTCTTCACTTCGCGTTGGCGGCGACTACGACTACTGGAATCGCGCGCGCGCGCGCGCTGGTCGACATTTCGAAAATTATTTCCTGCGACATTTCCGACAATCTCACAGCTGCAACCACATGGAGCGAGGTCTAGCTCGTCGATGTTTCACGTCGGCAACAATAACGTAATTCTCGGTGCGACGAATGTTGTTTCATTATACTCGAGAATTTATTATACTTGTGCGCGGCCGCATTGTTGCAAGAACGATTCATCGTGCCGCGACTTGGTGATATTATTGAGTCAAATTAAATTGCGGCAACAATAACTGCGGTTGCACGCGTACCGAAATGCGTGTCGAAACTACCGCCGGAATTGTATCCATTGCGAAATAATCCTCGAGGGCTGGCGCGCGGGTTTATTGAATTCTGAAGCGAAAATTCGGTCGAATAAGAATGTTGCCCGACAACTCGGAGAAATAGCTTGAAACTTTACATCGCGGTGAGCTTCGTGTGTGCCGCGAATTCGCGTTATAACGAAATTCCCGAAGAGAGTTCTCGTATATCGAGACCCGAGAAAGCGAAGACAAACTGCGTTATATTACCTCGCCGCGGTATTTCGCCGGAAGTACTAATTTTATAATTCGATTTCGCTCGCAGTTCGATCGCGCGCATACGTAGAGAGATTTAAATTTTATATCCCGTGTAGAGAAAATATTCGCTGAATGTCGGAAGCGGAACCCTCGGCTAGCAACGATGACGAACGAAAAAGTTGCGGAAAAATTACATACGCTTTCATGTAAAATGGTTTCTCTAAAGTTGCCAGATCGCGTCCTGTCCCTGCTTTAATGAAAGTTCACGTTACATTTTACGATTGTATGCGTTACAAATGATACGCGAGTTGAGTCGCCATTCTAAATGTTATTCGCCGGTCCGACTGGATAAGATGAAAATGGAACGACGAAGGGTTTAATGGTGCGCAAGAATCGCAGATGGATATCGTTTGAAGATATATGTCCATGTAAAATCTGTCCTCTGACGTAAACCGTTGGTTCGCCCGATGCAATTTCGCTTTGCAGACCGGCCCTTTGTATCCCGGCGCGAGCTGCGAATTCCAGAAAGGCATCCGCGCGCACCCTCCAATTTATTTCCGCTTCCGTTTCGATGCACGAGCACGTATTCCTCCGTGTGCGATCGTTGCAACCGTACGTCGACGAGAGAAGTATCGTATGCAACGTGGTATCGTTTACTACGAGAAAGTCCGCAACGACTTCTCTTTTAGCGTCACGTTGCGCGTTGCAGCAAATCGTTCACGTAGTTGATTTGTCAAAGGCGAACGCTGACTACATGCACGTGTATACCGAAAGTCTCCTCGAGCAGGTTTGTGTGTCAGTTCATTTCAATTATAAGAGAAATGGGAATGTTACAATAATCTGTCGCGTGATAATCTAAACCGTTTAAGTTCTGGAATACATATCTGAAATAGGAAAATTATTACAAATTTTCAGTTTACGTAGGAAAATTGCCACAGGCTCAAGGTACGAAAAATTTATCGAGAAGAATGTGTTAAAATTGCATATCTGGTATGATTGAAGTTCCACACTTCTTATTCCATCTCATTTTTCACCTCGAAACGGTAAATTCTATTTCCAGATATTCTATCCCATGCTATAATTATTTCGATTCCTGAAATAGGTCCACGCTCTGACCCGAATTATTGTGGGATAACAATTGTAATTATCAGGCGTTTAAATTGGCTGCAATAACATGTTAGCTATTATTCCGTATTACAACAACGCTAAACTGATTACACGATATCGATGGGAAGTTTATTCTGAACCGAATTTCCTTGTGTGTTTGTGTGTGCATGTGTGTGTGTGTATAGCTGTTGCGGCAAATTATTTTGGCCGCGAAGGTACAACGAGGGAATTAAGGGCTTTCATACATCATTACTACACAATAATATTAATGCCACGCTATTTACCCGACGGCCTGTTCTATAAATTAGCGAATCAACGGCGTTTGTTAAAGTCGGCGTTGATCGATTATTTCGCGATATTGCACAGCGGTATATATTGGCCAGCATTGTGGGATTTTCAACGTGAATAATTCGCCGGCTATATATCCGTAGTCGCGAGCCGTCCGTTTAGGCTACCGTCCCGAATTACTCATACTCGCCGTTCATCATGGAACAAATTGACGGTGACGTTTATCCGCGCCCAGAAAATACGCGATTCCGTTCCCGCACGTACGAAATTCATGGCCCACTGTAACCCATAAATCGAATGCGAAGGAGCGAATATCTATCTTACGCCGCTCGGGATACATACAGATTTATTTTCTTTGTATCTTTCTTACTCATTAAGAATAATATATTTTTTCACTTATTAAGAAAATAATTTTAATTTAAATTTAATTTATTGCTGCACAATAGGTGAGGCACCAACAGAAAGTTGTTGTTGCAAAGCCTACCTGTTAGAATTAGGTGTAAAATAAGGATTGCAGCAAATCAAAAATGCTACGCATAACGCATGAAAGTAACGCAAAGGAAAGAGAAAAAACGGACGTAACATAACAGTATTGCTCGAAAGAGAGCGCGGCCGATGCGATGTAAGTAGATGCCGAGGGACGAAAAGAGAGAGGAGCATAATTCGATGGAGGATGGCAATTTTTCGTAAAATGATAATCCAGTGTTAATTTCGCTTTTACTCGAGCGTTGCATTAATCGCGAACAACCTGCGGATTTTCTTTCTAAATTAAAAGTTATGACTCCAGTAAAGTTCTGAGTTATTACGAGCCGTTGAAGGTCTCCGTTTGCGTCACACGGGGAAAGTTGACTTTTACCCCGGAGATAATAGATTTTTACGGACGTCGAATACAGTGTTGACCGTTTGATTTTCAGGATTCGGAGCTCTGCATTTCGCTCGGTCTAAGTCTGCAGTATCTCCGGGTGTCGGTGGTCTGCTGGCTGGCGGCGATGTGCCACCACCTGTACGCTACCGTGGCGTCGCTGCCGCGTCGCGACGACCCGCCGACGTACATAAAGTACAGCCTGTTCGCCTGGGGCGCGCCGTTGATCAGCCTCGCACTGGCGACTTTCCTGCAGAATCGTGAAAGTCGCGACTTCTGGGATGTCGTTGATCTCACTCCCTTCAATTGCTGGTAAGAGTCTAGTAATCATCGATAAGATATTAATCGAGAATGCTATTTTATCAAATCTTATTTTGTAGTGTAGTTGCAAATTAAGTGCGGTATAAAAATAAAGGAAAGTATTGCATAATAACAAGAACCTGATGTTCGATATTATAATATAATCGAATAATCAATTATTCTTTGAGTTCTTATAAGGAAATAAGTTTATTTATGACATCGGGATGTTTTTAACGTTAGATATATTGAAGTTTTTTTGCATCGGTCTCTGTTTTAATTAAATTATTAGCTTAAACGTCTTCATTACTCCGTTTTCATTTTTATACATCTCCTATTTTCGTCCGTATTTATCTGCTGGCCTGAAACTTCTTTTCGACATGGCTCATTTGCCATGTTTCCATTTTCACGAGAGAGAATGTCCTGAATCCTTTATATCATTTTTACGCTTTATTGCCTTGCTCGCATTTTACACACATGCTTGGATTTCTGCCGATCTTCAAACGTTTATTTTCATATTTCTATTAAAAAATCACAAATTCTATTTAACAACGGGACAAATAATATATTATTCTATTACTCTCCTTGAAAAAAAAATACAATTTGTGCACATAAAAATAAACCGAAAATGTAACTGTAAAGTAAATAAAAATGTTATAGTTTTAGATGCTATCAAAACAACCGGTGTTATTTTAATATTTTTTTTATTATTCAGTGTACAGAGCTATAATTTAACTTAATATTATTTTAACCGTCATAACTCTCGCGTGTTTAACTTGGCCGAAATTGAAGAAAAAAAAAGAAAACGTTTAGTTAAAAGTAACGCTTTGTATTTATCTACTCGGTTCGCCGAGTGATTTGTCAGTGTGTACCGTCTGTTCCTCGGTCAAGAGAAAATCGTTTTCCCCGTCGGGTAGAACTTACCGCACCGCGAAAATTACCAGGCATTTGCATCTCTCTTCGTGAGAGATGTGAGTTAATGCAGCGCTCTGTTTCTAATATACGCATTCCGTCGCGTTCCGCCGCGACCCACTTTATTCGCCGGGGGTTGCCGGCGTGGGGTAGGTAGGTGGAGGCGACACGGCAGCGCGCGCGCGATAACGATGATGGGGGTACGGTTTTCCCAAGCCGCAAAGAATCCTCCGCCGCAAGAGCGACGGAGTTCTTTTTCCACGCTCGAACTCGTCGAGATATTGGACGGGGGATGAGCGGAAATGTCGCGGTTCGTCGGAAACGTCCTCCGGAGGAATGCCGCGTGTATACAGGGCGCACAGATCATTTATTTATTTCCAGATTCTTCCGCCCACCGTCTTCCGCCTCTCCCTTTCTTTCCTCGGTCTCTCTTCCAGCTGCCTCTGTCCCACGGCGAAATCCCGTCGAACGGCCAATTTTCGTTAAATCAGATTCGCCGACGACGACGGCGAACCGGAATACCGTACCAGAACGAGATCCTTGCTATTTTTCAAAGCAAAGCATTCGATAAGAGCATGTATACCGTGTATCGTTGAGCGTAGATATGCAATATTTTTCTTCGCACTTCCTCACGGCAAAATAATAAATTCCAAGCTACTTGTTGTTTGTTCCGCTAGTAAACATAATATTAATTATACCAAACTTTTGACGGAACGCATTTTTGGTTGTAAATTGTTTTTCAACTCGGCGCATTCGTATTACGTTCAACTTTATTTATTTTTAGACGGTCCAAGGCTTCACATATCTAGAGACAGATTTTTATTTATAAATTTTAAAACTCTGAAAATAGAGAAATTTTTCCTTGCTTGCTTTCAGAAAGCAATCATGCGTGAGAGTATTCCTTCATTTTGAATATTAAACATTTCAAAGAAGAAAGAGGAGACTAAAATATTAAAATTCTTAATAATTATTTAAAGTGCTTTTAATATAATAACATGCATCGCATATTTCTATTATATTGTGCAAGCCTGAATTGTCATGAAAGTAATTTTCTTGCGCAAAAATTCGTTCGCGCGGGTGCGTTCAACTTTCAAGGTTCGTTCGCGTATTTTTCCTCTTTTCTTCGTCATAATTCAAGATTGTTGACGTAGGTATTAAGGATCTAATCTGGCTTTTAATCTCTCGGCGATTTCCAGAGGAAGGCGAAGCTAGCGTAATTGTAACGAAATCAATGGGTAGCACTCGCAGTAGTTTCAATTCAATGTAACAATTCTATTGTTATAGGTATTTCAAAAAAGATAAAAGTCGAATTGAAATTTTGCGAGGTAGAAAGTATCGGTATTTCAATGTAGTTTCGTGTCATAAAGGTTTGAATTAAAAATGGTTAGAATGGCCTGAATTTTGAACTTTAAAGTTATTCGCATTCTGTACGTTTCTTTTTTATCATAATTGTGCGCATTGTTATACACGAGTGATTGCGTTGATTTTATTTTGCATTTAAATTTTGCGCTCTCTGCGAGGATTTCAATTCGTAAGTTCTCGAGGGACGAGGCAGTTTCGTTCGTCGCACTCTCCCCTCGTCCGCTTGTGAATATCCGAGATGCAATCGAGGAAAATAAACGGCGGGAAATATTTCTTTCGATGCGACATGTATAAAAATCGAACTGTCGACACGCGCAAAGTAGGCGAGTGCCGAAAATGGGTATTCGATATCGCCGGAGCGCTTCCCCGATAAAATCGCGCGTTTCGTAGACACTCGCTCTTTGACCCAATCTGTTCTCGCCGAAGGAAACGACGGGATTTTGCGTATTCTCCCCGCGCACTCCCCGCGTACGATTTACTGGCGAGACTTAATAAACGGGGGCCAATAAATATTTCCGTCATCTCTCCTCACGTTTCTCTCGTTTCATAAGAATTGCAACGCCAAATTGAACTTTTATGCGACGGATATTTTTAACTACTCTGCACTTTCCAGCCATTTTATTCGGTGTACATGTTTTGCGCGTTACACTCATTATAGAATATATAATAAAATTAATTCAATTAATACGAAGAGGTTTATACAAATTGGCTTCGTATTAGATACCTTTTAATTTATTTGCGGATATTTAATTTTTTATTTTTCTCAATTTTAGGTTTCTAGGAGCCACGGCGACAGTTTACGCGTATGGTTTACCGATCGTTCTGCTACTATTAATTTCCGGTTACTACCTCGTCAAGGCTGCAATCGTGTCAAGGTATGGATATCTTTTTATTGCGGTCGCGCGTCAAGATATAGACACCCTCTCATTACAATCTAATGTCACGTTCTAATATTAATCTAATACCCGAATAGAACTCTTTTCAAAAAATATTATTTACGTAACGCGCATAATATAATGGCTTTCTCAAACTAGAGATCACGACTCCCAGAGGGATCGCGGTAGCACACAGAAAGGAAAATTTCTTATACAAGTTTTTCTTTAACTGAGCGAAATAGCCCCGTTCTACCCTATTGGATTTATTACAGGGTGGTCGCAAAGTATTAACTTTTCTGTTTCTTACATTTTAGGGGGTGGAAAAATTTGAGAAATGCTGATATAATGTATATAATATAATCCCAAAACTGACGTTATTATTAATTGGCTTCAATTGTGCTTCTTTTCACGTAAAACTCGCGGATTCTGTACAGTTTGTTACCCTTGAGGTGACTCGTACATTTTTATCCTCGTTATTATTTTTACTCTTTTACATCTTGGGGAGTCATGGGGTTGAAAAGTTGGAGAAACGCTGATAGAATGTATATCATATAATCGGAAAATTGACGTTATCATTAACTATGGGCACCGACTGTGTTTCTTTACACGTAAACCTCGCGGATTGCGTACAGTTTATTACCCTTAAGGTGACTCGTACATTTTCATCCTCGTAATTTCAAACTTTGCTTTCCCGAACTATCGCCGTCCGCAAAAGTTTCGCGTGTTCACCTTTCTCGGTCACGGATTACGTCACACGTCGCGTAAGTTTGCGCTCGTACACACGCAGGTACACGTGCAGCATGCAGCTCGAGATAAAGCAACGCGAGAAGATGAAGAGGAGGCGGGCGTTGCAGCTGATGCTATTCCTGAAGGTCAGTCTGATCGTCGGTCTGGTTGCCGGTTGCGGGGTGGCGTCCAGGGTCTGGAAAATTCCCTTCCTATGGGCGGTCTTCTGTACGGGCCATTCCCTGCAGGTATGTGGAGCAAAGATACGCGGGCCGTGCAAAAAGCACACACGGGCCATTTCGCGTCGGGTACATAGGCGTACGCGGTGTACGCGGCGCAAAAAGGGTCTCGGAGGCGGAAGATTCACCGAGGTGCCATTTTTTCTCCCAGTTCTCCTTTCCTAACGATGTACCTTACGACCGCGATATTTCCGTCGCAATTTCGATGGATTATAGCAGTATACTGCGAGTATATACGAGCGCGCGTTAGAGGCTGACGTTGAAAGACGAGAAATCATTAACTTGCCGGGAGTGACATCGTATTTCGTCGCGCCTGATTTCTTGAAGCGCGTCGCGCGAACAAATTTCTGTACCGAATATTACATATTTTTGAATCCTTTAAGTAATTTCATGGGTCATTTTCGAAATGGTTGTTCCGGCCATTATGGTGGACTGTTATTCGGGCCATTATTCAGAGCCATTATGCGCGCGCGGACCATCACGTGGACCATTATTCGAACCATTATTGAAACCGCACTCCGTTCCCGTCGTTCGATCACAATTTATCTTGAGCTAAATTTGAAATATTTAATTTGATTTCTTGCAAATGCAAATATACCAATTATCGTGCGGTTCGGTATTCGCTGACGACGGCGCCGATATTACGCCGAGTTTATTTCCAACATTGAGAGATCTCGGTCGAGTCCTCGACGACGCCCGGCACTGTGCCGCGCATAAAGAGGCGAAAGGGCAAACGCAGGAACGCGCGGAATCTCTTTCCCTCGCCCTTTTCCGGCAAGTTCCTCGAGGGACTTTCCGTCCCTGACGCGTTCGATCTTGCGTCAAGCGTAAACGGCTTTTCCCTCTCTGCACATATATAGCGCGCCACCATATTTCTTCCTGCGAGCCGAGTTTGCCGAGTCGAGTGTTCTTCAACAGCGGGAGCTTTTCGCGATCAACGAATCTCGAAAGCGGTAGACGTACCGATCTCTCTTCTCACTTTACCCGGTCCGCATCGAATTGCACGCTCTCATCCTGTCGTGTTCGCCGTTCCGTCCGTTCCTTCCTTGGTTTCTACCTTTCATCGCATCGAGAATTTCGGACAGTTGCGATTTTTCTAAGCGCAAACCTCTCGAGTTTTCCCTTTTAAAAATCCAACTACCGTTAGCACTCATTCGATTTATATTTTTAATATTGTACACGGTTTTCTTTCGCTCTTGGCCTCCCGTTTCTCGTCTCTCCTTCTTTTCAGTGGCACTCGGGGATTCAAGATATTCCTCATTTCTCAAAGCATACATTTCAGTATTATATAATAACATATAATACAGATAACTTAAATTGTATTTGAACGTCGTGCCTCTTTGCTGCGTAATTCGATAATACAGTTTCCTCCAGCTTGTTGCAACATTACACATGACAATGCTACTACATAGTCGAAATAAAATTAATTGCGCCAAGAATTGATAATGGCCCTGCAATATGGAGGGAAAAAAGTAGATAAATGAATAGATGGGTTTCTGTGAAAAATGTTAGAAGCTAAGGGGGGCTAAATTGTTCATCCTGTTTCTGCGCCTGTTAATGAATCTACTTAAAAGTAGTAAAGAGGGCGGGAGAAGTCAAAGTCTTATATTATTTATTCAGGGAAAAGCTATATCTGGCGATCCTAATATTAAAGGTGCAAAAAATTTTCTACAGGGATCGGCAGTGGCACTTTCCGTCGCGTGTAACTGCAGGGTCCTGAAAGTCTATGCCAGGAAGTCACACAAGCAACCGGAACATCAGGTACGAGCTCTCGCTGAAAGAAAGTTTTCTTTGTTCCAGCTAGTCCTACGTTTAAATCCTTTCCTTAATGGTCCGATTGCCTGCTGCTTTTTTCGTTTCTATACTTACGGTACAGATGTTTCGTACTTTGCGAAAAATTGATTCTGACGATTGATTGATTAATCTTTATCAGTTTTGATTGTCGCTGTTTTTTTTTCGTTCGCAATTTCTCTTGGATAATACGACTGTGAAACTTTTGATTCTTTGTTCGATATCTCGAATATTTCTTGAACATTTCTTCTCGAGTAACATGTTGATTTAGAATAGTCTACGAGTCTGAACTAAGGACAGTCTTCTACGAGATACGTGATTTTCTACGAGAAGCTCGAAGGCATTAAGCTTTAATGGGCGGTTACAAATTTCTCGAGTCGAAAATACGTGTGTCTGACCTTCCAGCTTGTCTCTTTTCACCGAGAGAGATCCTCTAGCGCAAATTATTTAATTCGGTTGATTGCGATGCATTCTCGTTTTCCAGGTCAGACTGAATTAAACTGTCGCGCTTTTTCTACTCCTTATTTCAGTTACCCAAACCTATGGCTCGGTTCATCGAGGTGTACGGATTTATTTATCCCATCAATGTCTAATACCCAAGAGACCTACAGCTTGGCTACTTTGATTCTAGGCAAAATATCCCGACCTTGAGTTTCCCCTTTTCTTACGGCCCGTTCTCCTATTTTCTCGAAAAAGAGAGTTATTTTAATAATGAAAAATTTTTATTTAAGAATAGATTTATTGTCGGTAACAGAAATTCTTTCGTCTTCGCCACTATTTATGCGGCTTAGACAAGCGCTTTGCTTGCTTAGACATTGAATAAGTCTTCGATACAGTGTGCGACCTGACGTTGACGTTGCAGATCGCAAAATCGAGCAGTAGCATGCAGCTGCTCGCACCTGCACCGGACCCGGTTTAGACGATCCCGAGGCGATCCTCGGAACGGAACGGACAGGAACGAAGAGGAAAACCAACGAGTGGCGACGGCTGGTGTCTCTTTCTCTGCGAGCCATAACTATTTTTACATCGAAAATGTGCTGACATTTCCCTCTTAACTTTGCCGTTTCTCTCTGTGACCGGGATCTTCATCCGTGACGTGCGATTTCAGTTTCAGCCTCAATAGCTTCAACCATTTCTTTCAGCTCGATATCTTTTCGTTGTTTGAGATAGGTAGAAAACTTTCAGAAAACTTGTAATTCGTAGAAACTGGGAGGAATACGAAAGGAGGAAAAACTTTGCAAAACTATACTTTTGCTCGATGAATCCTTTATTGATTTGTTATAATTATAATTATAACTCTGAGTTGTTATCTTTGATGATTCATGGCAGTCATTGTGGAGAGAGATATACGCCGCATTACAGTTGAATATAATAATCGTGGATCATTAAACATTACTTGGGTCGCTATTGTCCTCAGAGGGGTCGCTATTGTCGGAAGGGCTGGAAACTCGAGTCCTTTTGCACGCACAAGCTAATCCATTTATCGGCTATAATTAATAATCGTGTTCTATGCGAGGCTTGCGCAAACGAGCCTAATTTTGACGACTCATTATACGATCCATTGTTTATTACACTCTACAAATCTCTATGAACTCTCGAACAATGAATTATAACTATTATACTTAGCGCAAGTTTTAAAGAAGTAAATTAAAAAGAAGAGTCAAACTTCTCGCGCGAGTAAGAGGGGCAAATTATAAACTTCGACTTTTCAAAGTTTTCAAAATAATGTTAAGAACTCGGAGAATTAACTATAGTTCACCAAAGCGGATTGCTCCACGGACGCAAAGTTATTAATTATTTCCGCGTATGTTTAATTATTATATTAACCGGTAAGGAATCACGAGTTGAAATGACTTCGAATGATTTAACAAACCGACTCTTGACAAGTTGAAACTCTCTCATGTGTCTAATTTAAGAGAGGTCGATTATAATTGATTTCTCATTTCGGTCTTACGCGCATTCGGCAAGTTGCAGTGATCTACGAGACTCGAATCGCACGTCGCTGTCCTAATCGCATTTTGCATGTCGATTACGTATGATGTTCCGTAATGTTATAATGCGAGAGACAACTTGATACGGTTTCGATATGACGAATGATTTCACGCTTCAGCGAGGAACGCAAGCACCGGGAAATACGTGACACACAGGCGGTGCGCTGCAACCATCCCTAATGTGATATGCATATCGTGTGTTAAATACACTATAACTGTATATATATAATTCCGTGCGTGACGAATAATCGCTAACCTTAATAATTTTCAGTGTATAGTGCCGCTTGGGAAACTGCGTGATTTGTGATCCAGAAACATAATTAATATGCAGTCATATAATTATTATCCTGCTATAACTTTTCTACGATTGGTAAACGTATCGTTGTTGAATTCAATCATTTGCCTTAATGCTATAATTCTTCACATTACTTTGAAATAAATGCGTATTATCTCGATCGTAAACAAATTCTCTCGTGTTAAGAACTAATATTGAAATAAATGTACATACAGAGAGTTGAAGAAGGAAATATTTTTCTCCAGAGAGAGAGAGAGGGGGGGTGGGGGGGGGGAGAAGAGGGAGAAAATTCCCAATTTTAACGGAAGCTGTTTGGGGGAATTTTTAATACTTGATATTAAATATTGCGAATTTTCGTAAACACGCACAGTACAAACGCGAGTATGAAATTATTTTTCTTTCCAAACGTGACCTAGATTTGCCGGATTGTCCCGTGAGGGATTAATCCAGTCTTCCGGCTCTCTACAATAGAATTTTAATGCGCAGGAAAAGTTATATGGTTTCATATCAATTCTCTGGATCTCGAAACTGGGGCGAGCGATATACATAGGATGGACCGTCATCGCGATCGCCGTGACTTTCTCGCGATGATGAATATACCATAGGCGCGAAGCGACGTCGTACACCGTAATTCAATTTGTAGAGGTCACTTAAGGGATGAAAATTCCGGAGGAAGTGAATAGGGAATCGTAGCAGAAAGGCACCGTCGGTCGTTTACGCGATTTACTCCGGGCTCTTGTGTCCTCGTGCGTTTTAGGAGACCCCCTTTAACAAGGGGGGTCCGATGATCGATCGATCGAAGGGCTGGCTTTCCTCCGCTTCACGTTGCTCCAACGAATGCGGCGGTGGACTGAAACCACCGTGCCATGGCGTAGCGTTGCTGATATATCGATACCTATTGCTCCCATTTCGCGAGCGAGGAAAGCATTCGAACGCCATCGTTTCTTCCCTCTGAATGGCATCTAATCAAGGACGAGAGCGGTGTATAAATTGGGCGCGCTACGAGCATCGACATTTGATCAAAGTGTGTGTATATATATACACACTCACATGTATACATATATATAAAAGATGCCATATATATATAAAAGAGGAGAGTTTATATATAAGGTTGAGCGAAAATACAGAAATACTTTAATTCTTGGTATGAGCAATGATTGAAAACGTTGTATTACGAGAGTAAATGAATGTTTTGGGGTATCTGTTGAAAATTAAAAAATTTTTTAATATATATTAGCTATCAACATCTCGTGATAAGTATATTTAGCGACAGCGACAATTAGTCTGGGTTTCAAAGCCGTCGAGCTAATCAAAATCTCGGACTGGATGGCAAACTCCTTTTCCGAGTCGCGAATAACGTAGCCGAAATGATGGCGTATGATTGCGTTTGTTTGACGACCGTGCATATCGGAACTCTGTGAAGACACGTGGGTGCGAGAAGAATCGAGGAATATGAAGTGCAGCTAGCTCGCTACCGTTTGATCCGCTGGTTCTGTTGGCAAACGAGAGACACGAACGAGCGAAACGCGATACCCAATGTAGGTCGACATATCAGTGTTGAATAACGCCCTTGAATTTTCTAAGCACGGAGCTGACCGAATGTCGGATCTGCGAGATTTTGTTTGCCCGAAATTTCGTCCCTGTGAGGTTTACTTGATCGATACACGTCCGCGAACCCACCGCTGTGTGCATAACATCGACGAGAGGAGGATGTTCGTCGAATCGGACTTGGAGAGTCACGCGATTAATCGCCGTCTATCTCGCGACGGGGAGGTTTCTGTCAGTAGATGAATAATTAGGAGCAATCGTGACGGTGATTGCGACAGTGAGATAATTATGGCCCTTTGCACGTATTCCGATAATTGAACGAATAAAGCGGATAATTATTGCACATTTGCTAAGGATGATAATTACACATTTATTGGCCCATGTAGCATACGCATATAATTTTATTCAGACTTTAATTAACTACTGTAAAGTTATGGTTTTCTACATTTTACGGGAAGAAGAGTATCTTACGGGATATATTGTTAAGCTGAAAACTGACACCACTCGATTTCTCACATATCCCTCTTATTTTATCGAGCTCCTTCGTCTTCTACGATTCAGCGATGCCATGAGCGGAAAGAAATTTACACGATATAAATAATATCTATAATCCGAAGACAGATTCGTGTCCCATAAAAGGAGAGATTTTTCTGTCGTGAGACATACGTGTCATGTGGACATATCGAGGCGATGTATCCTCCATCGTGCGGATGCCCCATCGATCGCTCAATCGTGGCGTTGTGCGCGTCCACGCAAACGGACCCAGTTCAGATTCCGCATACGCAAGCTTATCCTCGGTCAACGTCGCGGTAATAAGCGTATCGCTGCGAACGGTATCGACCAATTGACTAGCAGGATTCTACGCGTGTGAGTGCGTACAGCGAGACGTATGGATATCGACCTCCCTCATCCGAGAGAAATCCGTGTGCGTGCGTGGGTGCGTGCATGCGTGCTTGCGTGCGTGTATGTGTGTGTGTGTGTGTGTGTCTTGCGCATACACGGCTTGCGTATATCCGCGCGATCGCGTTCGCGGTGGTTTCGCGGCCGGCATTCCCCCGCGGAGCAATTAACACCTGGTAACGACCTGTGCAACTCTGCGTTAATGCTTGTGTAATCGCGGCACGCGTGCGTACGCGTAGACGCATGTAATCACGACGAAATAAATATTTTGAAACCTAAAGGAGAGGAGTCCGAGTCTGCGTCGGACTCGTCCCTGGTCGTCTTCGCCACCTCCGTACGATCCTCCCCTGATCTCCTTCACTCCTCCGCCGAACGACGAGTGACAGAATGCTCCGGGCGGATCTTTCGCGGCGCGCCGATTTGTTTCACAGCGCCGCGATAAGGGCGGAAGTACGGGTGTAAAGGAGAGGAGTCCGAGTCTGCGTCGGACTCGTCCCTGGTCTTTACCACTTCCGTAAGATCTCCCTCTGATCTCCTTCGCTCCTCCGTCGAACGACGAGTGACAAAATGCTCCGGGCGGGTCTTTCGCGGCGTGCCGATTTGTTTTACAGCGCCGCGATAAGGGTGGAAGTACGGAGTGTCTCTCGTTCGGCAATTATTTCTCCTTTATTACTCCACGAGATTTAGGGAAGGGGATTTTTATTACACCGGCGAGGATTTGTTCCTCTCGCGAGTCTAATATATCTGTCTGCTTCTCGGAGGGTGTCCCAGACGTTCTCGCTTCTCTTTGTACTTTTTCGCGGCGCACTGAATCTTCCGGCGACGAAAATACACGGAGACCGGAGGAGACAAAAGAAAAATACTGTGCGGTGTCCGGTACACGAGGTACGGGGGGGATTTAATGCCTATACACGCGGGTACTTGATCCGAGCTATCGATTTTCCGAAATACGGAATATGGTACGGATGACTCGTTTAGTGCCCTTCGAGCGAGCGGAAGAGCGGCTCGTCCGTGTCATTTCTCTCCCCGTTCTCTCCCCCAAACGGACCTGACATTTAATTATCGGGAATGATCGGCCGACGGTCCGCGACGCGACCAAGTGCATTCGTTTTCAACCCGCCCTTTGGCTGCGATGCACTCGCGCGATTTGACGACGCGCGACAAGCGCTTTTTCAAGCGCGTTTTATTCCGAAAAACATGTTTCATATGCAATACATTTCTTTTTTTCCCCCCCAACAAACAAACAAAATATTTATTTGCCGCGTTACCTTAGCTACGCTATGATATTGAATAAATTGTGGGGAGAAAAACTTGTGGAGCAAATCTGAAATAGATTTTGAACGCTCAAAGCTCAGGCGAACAAAGACATGCTCGTATCACCGTGAAATTGTGATGGAAGATGAAATAAACGGCGCGATAATGCCTTCCGTCGCAATATAGATGCGCCCTGTTCTCTCGATATTAATTTCCGCAAAAAAAGAGGGAAAAGGCTTGATATCGCGTTCACCTATTCTGCTCCCGCCATTACCCGCGCTAATTTCCCCTTAATTAACTCTGTATAATTACGCGCAGGCTGGACTTATCTCGTGAATTTGTAATTCCGCGCGGAGGCGTCCTCGAGCGGAGTTAATTAGAGAATTTCAAGCGCGTCCCTTCTTACCGGAGGCAGAGGAAAAGATGTTCAAGACGGTTGTTGTTACCCCGAGGATGCCCGGGCCGACGGTAGGATTCGTTAACGGACTCTCAAGACTTAATACAGGGTCATTAAAGAGAATGCGTCGCTCTAGTGCCGTTCTTTACGACGTCGTATATAAGTAACCGTGGACTTCCGTGGCACAATGGTCGACACTCCCGCGTCTTCCCCGTGCGCTATTCAAGCGAGAAAGACGCTATTGAAACGAATCCTGTACTCATAGCCGCTCACCAAGTTCCCTTCAACAGATGGGCAATGACGTAATTTTTTTACACTAGAACTGGAAAGCCCTTCACCGGTTTATCGTGAGTTATAAATGGCGTTCGAGGCACATTGGACACATTTTCAATCGCCGGATAAAGGAAGATAGATAGGGATTGTATTTCAATGAATTATTATTGGGTGACTAAAGTTGTAAAAAGTGTAAAATTAATGATTACGGAGAGTTACCCGGCATTGAAAATTAGAAGCTTTTCGCGAGTTACAGCAAACATTGAAACCGGAGACAAAACGTTGGAGAACTAGTTTTAATAGAATTTTTTTTACATTGTTTTTGAATTTTTAAATTCTGTTGGAAAATATTATTGTCGGGTAAACGGAAGTTATTTTTATAACTAAAATGAAATTTTATTATTTTATTTTTAAATTGCAAAAACAGTGTATTTTCTGTTCGAATAAACCGAGTTAGTAACCAACAGATTAATGGGTTTTTCTCTGCTACTGTGCTGTGGAAATTGGATTACCTCGGGAGCCAGTAGTCAAGGAGGAAAGCTTGGGAAATACTAGATTAAAGACAGGTCCATGTATGGGCAGTATGAACAGAATGAAATGAGTGCATCGTAATTTTTGCCCTTTTCTAAAAGACGGGAAGATTAAAGTAAAATTGTCTCGAATAGACGTAACTCAATTTAATTAATTTATATCACGTTAATATGGAATAAATATTATATCATAAATGTTGAAATGTTACATCAAGAAGCATAAGCAACGCAAATTTTATATTATGGAGTTTACGCGTGTAAAATATAAGCAAACTTCATGAGGTATGGAACAATTTTTTAACTCTAGAATATGAAGTCAGAAACATCTCTTCTCATACGTTAATAATAA